CGTATTGCAATATATTGCAATACGGTTTTTGGTCGCAATACTCACCCCTAACTAATATATCAATCACAATCTACTCAACACGTGCTACAATCTCAGCTGCCAGCATGGTCTAAGGGAAACAAAATGTAATTTTACGCGCCACAGAGTCACACGCCAACTCAATGGCTTTTTACAAAATGGCCGCCACGAACCACCATACAGCTCAAGGCGATCTCATAAATAATAGTCTTCAAAGTCCAAGATACTACATCGAAGACGGATCGAAGACAAGTTGATCAAACAGACAGATTATGCGGCGACAGGGGGAAGAACGGGGGAAAGAAGGGGGAGGGAAAGATGCATGTCAAAGTAAAACTAATTTAACGAACGACAAATGATTTCAACATCAAAACGTGCCTAAATAACCCACTTTGATCTTAACATCAGAGTATTCCCCTGGTGGTGGCGACTCCGCCGCCGCGTCGTCCTGTCCGCCCGCATCGTCTTGCGGTTCAATGTCGCACTTCTCCCGCCGTAGCTGCTTCGCGATTCGTCGACTCGTGCTCGACTTCCTGACCTTGAAAACTTCGCCCTCTATGAGGAACGACCGCACACGAAACAGGAGATTAGTTTGAGAGAAAAATCGCGGAAACAACGTCAGCGACGATACTTGCCGCTGCCTGCTTCCTGTAACAATATCTATAGCACATTTCCGAAAACACATTTGGCCACAATTAAAAAAATCTTTGTTCGCCCTCACCCGACCCAGGCTAAAAAGTTTGGGTAGGTATACTTCTAGTAGTATAGGTTTTAGTAGGTAGACTTCTTCTTTTTTGAGGGGGGTCTTTTTTACAAATTCAGCATGGTGTCTACATGCTCGGGTGTGCTTCTGTGGAGATACCTTTTATGTTGAATGTTTGTTTTGCTTGGTAGTTGGTACATATAATGTATTGCCTACAGATTTATATAATGTACAGTGATACAAATTGTAAAAAAAAAGAATGGGAAAGACCAATAAAAAAATTCTGCCCCTTTTTGGCGGGTTGGTCGGGTGAGGGCAAACAAACAATATTTTTATTATGGCCCAAACTGGTTGATCCGACAACACAACAAGAATCACGAATGCAAACGTGGGCTTGTCATGCTTTCACTGTGTACTGGGCCTTGCTTGTTAGACTAGCCGCATATTTCATATCACATGAAATCTTAACCACAAGTTCCCTTCTCGCTTAACACTACGTTGGCGAGAGGGTCACAAGCCGACGCAATAGAATATTGTTCGGCATGACGTGCGCTGCTATTAAACGTAAAATTATCTAACTTTTTATGATTCTTACAGCTTCTCTGTACTTCCACGCCTCGATTTATTATATGTGCGCTATCACTGAGCATGTATTTACGTGTCAGCGAGTAATTATTTATAAATTGATAAGATAATTTAACTCAAAAAACGCTGCCATTTTCCCATAGATATCCCATCATACGTACCAAAAAATACAAGTACAAACGTACAAACAGCTACAAAAAGAGACATAAGAACATCCAGTATGGCGTTTGTCAAACGTTCAAAAGTAAAGCTGTTCGAAATTATCTTATTTTAACATGTATTTCGAGGTAAATAGTAATTAAGAAGTGTAGCAATAGTTGCAACATGTAACAGGTGAGGTCAAATGTGGTAATACGTTTTATTTACGAAATTCGGAGTTTGTTTTCAAGCAACCAGGCATTTCGTATGGAAGGGTGTCAGGCTCCTACGCCGTGTAACAGTCGGAGAGCCTGGTCGGTTTAATGAAATCTATGCGTTGATAACCACGCAAGATTAAGAAAACACAAAAAATCATCCGAATCACATCATCATCGTGTGTCCCGAACGAGACACTTTTGGGTCATGGCAAGATACATGACCCAGATTCTATGTTATCTATAGACTATATATATATATATATATATATGGACGTGGATATTCGTCCAAGCATCGGACACCTGTTCATATGGGCTATTCGTCCGGGCAGTTGTTGCGCATGTGCTGTTCATGTTGTATAACATAAATGTAATATAATGCTAGTCTAGGGAGGCGCATACTACCTAACCCTAAACCTAATCCTAAACCCAACCCTAACCCTAACACTAACTATAAACCGACTCGGTTCTCTTATATATGCGAGTGATAGTACCAAACACTATCTATGGTGTATAACCACATACGCAACGCATGTATGCAGGGGCGTCACAGCCGTAGGGCTGCCGTAGCAAAACGCTACGGGCCCCCAGCCTAAAGGGCAAAAAATTATAAATCTAAAGGGTAAATAGCATTCTGGGGGGGGACCCCCCAGACACCCCCTTCACACTTCCTACCTCCGGCACTCGTGCCGTGCACCTGCGGCATGCAACATGAACAGCGCATGCGCAACAACTGCTCGGACGAATAGCACATAGTGACATACGAACAGGTGTCCGATGCTCGGACGAATATCCACGTCGTATATATATATACATGTCCATGTGGGTCAGCTATGTTGTGGGCCACACTTTCTCCGAACCTTGGCGATGACAACATTTGTCAGTTACCTAACGGCTAACCTACACATTGACAATAACAGGGGTGAATAATGACAAATTGTCAATTGCAATTGTCAATTTACAATTACAAATTACAATTCAATTACAAGTTACAATTCAATTACAAGTTACAATTGTCAATTTACAGTATATGGTATTACTATTAATACTATTATTTACAAATTAAAATTGCATTGTCATGCAAATTTGTCATTAGGCCCTACTCACCCTTGATATTACCTCCAATTTATGGGTTGACAATTACGCAAAATAGACGCAATTCAACACACACACAAAGCATCTACCTTCTTCGTCGTGCGGTTCGAACGAGACTAAGGGCCGCGGTGACGCTGCCTGTTGCTCGTGTTTTTTCAACCTGTCTCGACGTTTTTTCTCCTTCGCTGGCGTTTCGGAGGGCGCCGTCACCTCAACTCCGGGAATCTCCGGCTGTTCTTCCTTCGTCTCGTTCGCCTCTTCATTCTTCGTGTGGTTTTCCTCGTCCGAGTCGCTCCTCGCGACTCGCTGTCGAAATTTTCTGCGCGTTTTCTTGAACATTTGTATCATTCAAGATTTTTCGCTCGATCACAAATATGGCAGCTTCGATAATGGTCGACTGCAGCATGCTGGGATCGCACAGCGGTGGCGCTGTTAGCGATTTGCGTTTTGATATGAACTCTCAGCCACAAAATTACATGATTATTATAATATCCCCTCGTAACCTCGTAGTCGTAAATAATAGTCTTAAATTCTATGGTCCAATGGACTATATCGAAGACGGAAAGACACAGGTTGATCAGGTAGACAGATCAACAATGTGGATCGCAGTAGAAAAAGCCTCAAATTTGCAATTTACCAAAGAGGATCGGGAGAGAGTTGACAGAATGACAGAAACAAAGACTGCCACTGCTAATTATAGTAATTATCAGGAGTAATTAAATAATCACAAAACTAATAATGTGTGGTTATTTACTTCTGATAATATCATTAGTAAATCAAAACTCGTGTTTTTATTGAATGGCATGTACATGCGCACATACACGCACGCACGCCCGCCCGCCCGCACATATAATTTTATGCATAGCTATATAGGCCTACGCATATATATATATATTATATAATATCATAATATTACATATATAATATTATATAATATAAATGACAAATTTAACGAAATTGACAAAATTTGTCATTATTAACCCTTGATAATATCTATACTACAGTACTACAAAAACGGACTATGTCTATGCATTCCGCCATTTATTGGTGGTGGTGGAGACTATTATATACGCTTGATAACATACAACAAACAGACATATATACATAGTTCTCTTTATGTATTGACTTTAATACAGGTAAGTATGCTGTTACATATTCACTTAAATACAGATAAGCCTTAACATAATACCTTTGATATTTACGTAAATTAAGGTGACAATTCAAAATGTCTTTACAGACACGCATACATAGCTACATGTAAACGTACCATAAAATTTTAATGCGTCCATATATATATATATATATCAGAAGTAGATAATAGGTAATTATCCTATTATCTACTTCTGATAT